AAAAAAAAAAAAAACATGGAAATATGGATGGCAACAACATTGATGTAATTTTTAAATAGTATATTGATAGTGTATTTAAAAATTTAGTTTTTTTTTTGGATAATTTGCTGGTCTAACATCGAAATGGCTGGTTAAGTGTTACCAGATGCATAACTAGATCACTCAAGAGTTGTATTATAGAATCTAATCCTTTCTTTTCTTTTTCTTTAAGTATTTTTGGTGTTACTGGTGTTTGCTACCTACTGTTTTTGATACTTAGATTTCACTTTGTGGTAGGTGTTTGGATGTTTGCAGATATAGTTTTACATAATTTTTGTCTTAAGTATATGATGTAATGTATTTGTAACGAGTAGCTAAAAATGCGGAAGAATGAAGATGGAGAAGAGCAGAGGAGAAGGATGGTAACTTTTAATATTTGTAATTTCTTTGCTATGTATTGCACACCAAGTGTGCTACATGGTAAAGGTTCTTTTCTATTTTTTCTCCATTCTTTGTTTTTTCAGTTTTAATTTTATTCATTGTGTAACAACATTTAATTGTATTTAAATTTTTTCGATAATTTAGTTTTAAGATGCTAGTTTTTTTTTTTGTTTTATCTTCTGTGATTGCTATATGTTTTTTTTTTTTGTTTATTTTATTCTTTTATATTTTGTATGAACTGTGACAGGATCGGGTTATTCTTTTTCGTTACTTTTATTCATTTTGAATTGATTTATGTGTATTTAAGACGGTAGTGGTGTTAGTTTTAATGGTGGCTCTAATTGACGGTGTTTAAATGGAATAATACCCTAACAGATGTCGAAGGCAACAATACTGGTGGTTAGTTTATCAGTCAATCATTACTGTATTCCTGATTTTTTAACTTGGATAATATATTTATTGTTTTCGATACGCGTATTGTTATACAAGAATTTTAGCTATATACAGTTGGAGTCTTCCCCTGTGTTATGCATTGATGTTCTAAGCATGTATCTATGTACAGTAAATATGTCTGTATGTTTAGCGATCTTACATGAAA